TTTTTATATATTTTATTACAGATTCTGATTGTGGGTGTGTAGATGGATGGATATTTGTTACGCTTTCGTGCAAAAACTACAAAACGGATTTTAATAAAACTTTACAAAAATATAACATATAAATCAGAATAAAACGTATAAATTTCACGCGGATGAAATTTGCCGCCATCACAGCTAGTCAATTTATTTTAATTACGTTCACTGCGACATTGACAGTTAGTCTAAGATCATCTATACATATATATAAAATTGGAGTGTCTGTTTGTAATATTGAAATACCCGTTTTTACTACATGCATATAAATATAAATACGGTACATACACCAAAATAACATTTTTTTACAATTTTTGTCTATCTGTCTGTTTGTTCCTGCTAATCTCTGAAATGGCTGGACCGATTTTGAAGGCACTTTTTTTGGCAGGTAGCTGATGTAATAAGGAGTAACTTTAGAAAAATAAAGTTAAATTCCACACGGACGATGTCGCGGGAACAGCTAGTAGACAAATAAGAATATACAATTATACATCTTACATTTTTTACCCTCTATTTTCTATAGTCCCACCCCCATCACATTTAATATGTCAGGTCAACCTCCAAGCGGTCGACCCGCTATATATAAAGTAGCCGGGCGCAGATACATCGACATCATTGATAATACCACCTCCTCGATATCTATTAACTGTTCTAATCATGTTAGCCGCAACTTTACAGCTTCACCGAACGATAGGGGGCGAGTACAAACCCGCACTACAAAATGCCGAGGAAGTTATGAAGCGGCTGAAGGCCAAGTCCTACCTGACGGATATAACTTTAGTCTGACGGCACCGCTAGGAGTTCGGACCTCGGCTCAAACTATGGGAATTTTGCGACGCGCGCAGGCGCCCGGTTATTTGCGCTTGATGGTATGGTGGAGGTCATTATCTTCGCCGACGAGGACGATGTCGTGTACTTGTGTTATAACGTGGTATGGACGGAACAGGATGAGACATTCGTGCTACTTTTGAGGATGACTCCAAACTATTCTATTCTATTTCAATTTAGACCATTCTACCCCCTTCTACTCTTCTAACCAAATTCTGCTTTATACCTACTTCTATAAAATGTTTTAATTGATAACAAAGATTACTTTGAAAAGTCAAATCTCGTTTTAACGTTATACAGGGCAATTTTTTCCCCATTGGTTTCTTCATAATCGCCTTCCTCAAACTTCCAAGACATATTTTGAAAAAAAATATCAAAACTAATGCAAACGTTATCTAAGTGTGCGCTTAGCAACACATATTATGATTCATTTTTATATTTATTCATATTTATAAAATATACATTTGTATAATAATATGAAGTGGTTAGCAATGAAAATAGACTATTTACAAATAATAATCTTATCTTACGTCCTTCACAGTTGGCTTACATTGTGTAAACAAGGTCCGCTTCGATTCCTGGGCAAACCCTTTTTTTTTCGATTAACTGTCTGGTTATTCTAGGCTTTGGCTCCCGGATGTTTGCTATTTGAAATTCCTCATATCGGTAAGTATTTTGGTTTTAAGCACGGAGCAATTCAAGCAAATGATGCATTTGAAAATTATTATAGCTTTAACTACAGAGAGAAATAATCATGAACAGTAAGGAATGAAATATATTTTTATTATAAATATACGTTTAAAAATCATTACGAAATGATATTTTGGATACTACATAATTTTAAAGAACCGAGGAGGTGCCGAAAATTATACAATTTTTTGGATTTTTATTTTTTAAACATTACTTTTATTTATAATGACACACTTTCTGATGGAGTCCTTAGAAATTTCATTTTTTTTTTCAAGCTCTGTTGGCCACATTTTGCCGTTACAGCCAGGCCGTAAATAGAAGTTATCGCAGAAGACACTCTAAACCCACGGAAGGACTAAAGCAGACAAGCGTCAAAAGATCGACTCCTGTCTAAAATAATTTTATAAAAAAATGTTTTTTTATGTAATGGAATAGCAAACAAACTAGCGTATTCCCTGTGGTATGTGTTAACCATCGTCTATATACATAAACAGCATTATAAACATCATGTGATACCTGTGATACCAATCATTTGCTAACATTTAGGAGAACTAAGATGATGTTCCTCTTATTTAATTTGACTGCCTTATTGCATTCTTCAAGTAATATACAGCTTACAAAAGCAATCTGCTTGGCTACTGAAATAGGATCAAGACGCAGACGCCTCTTTGCATAGTCTTCGTCGGTTCAATTATTTGGTTTATAACTAAAATAACTGGAAAGATATGTCTTTGAGTGGCAAATTTAAATCGCCTAACTAAATAAGCCAGTTCCTTTTGTATCAAATGAGTAAGTTACATAATTTTATGTACCCGACAGCCTCGGTGGTCTAGTAATTTTGCACGCCACCTTATATTCGATGGTCGCGGCTTCAGTTTTCGGACGATAATAGTAACATTAGTAGAAACCACGGGATCTTACTCGTTTTATTTTTATTGAGTTCCCGATATTTTGGCAGTGTTTCTACCGCTATAATCATGAGTAAACTAAATTTTCTTTTTAATATTAAAAGAAAAGTAGTAATATCCCGTGATCTTTACTAATTGTACCTATAAGTATTGACCGCATCGTATTTAAAACAGATACAATCATCATTTGTAATCATAAGTTTGATAATTCGTATTGTTCTTGTTATTATACCTACTTTTTATTTTTTAAATACGACTACTAATACCTTTGATTTTTTTACCAGTTATTTAGCATAAGATAAGCTCTAATTAATTTGAACGTAACGTAACGTTAGATGTCACTGTTAGCTCTGCGCAGGAGAGTGCGCTGTGATTCGTTACTCAATCATATTAGGTATGTGCCTTGTGAATATTTGAAGTAATTTTAATTTACCATAAAGGATATCAATACCAATAGTCTAAATTCGGAATTATGTCTATCTGTTTTTACTATTGGCTGAGAGATTTTAATGAAATTTAACGTTTTGATATATTGCCTGACTAGAACGGACATAGGCTTGTTTTGTCTCACAAGAAGCAGACGAAATCGCGGGCAACATTAGTATTTGCTATAATATATAATACTTAGATATTATTATAATTAAAATTAATAATAAATTAATTTTAATTATAATAATATCTCAGCGTAATCTAATCCCAAGCTATGTTTTATTGGTACTAGACTGATTTAGATATTTTTTTTACCCAGACCGATTCAAACAATTATACTCATGAATATAAGTAAATGTTTCTATCATGAGAGGAATTGAACCCAGGACCATCGGAAGCAATGCGGTATAAAATGATTACATTCATTTCATGAGTTTGTATTATCATTTACTTGTTACTGTTACAATTCTGTCACTCGAGATAAGTATGTGCACGACATACGATGGTAACCAATGGCCATCCGGCCAGACGGATGCTTGTTTGTTATTGTTATGGTTTATAATATGTGTCTGATAATTATTTCTTTATTCAATTAACGTTTTTTTTTACGTAAATTTAAAAAAAAATCTATTTTTCAAAGTTATAATGTTACCGTTAGATACAAAATAGTAATGTTTAATTTCCTTAAAAGATAATTAAATATTGATGTTATCGTGTTTTATTATTTATATGTAAATTTTACTAATAGTTGAAAGTAATTTCTCGATATTACATATATAAGTTTTATAAGCAAATCATTTTTTTTTTTGTTATTAGTTTATTTGAAGGTTTTTTTTATTTTTGTTGGTATGGAATGTCATCTAATAGTAAAGTATGTACATATGATATATATATTGTATATATACATTTATGTATATAAATGTATTTTTCAGATATGATCAAATTTCACATTTCATATTGGTCAATAAATCAAAATATATCATGACAAAGGAATCGACTTTTTTTTCAAATTTATCAAAGTTGGACTGTTGTTCTGTGTATTCTTTTTATTTCGTGATTCGTGAAAACTAACTATTATAACGGTAAATATTTTTTATTTTTATTAATTAGAAATGCTACTAAGTCGTCAAATTAAATTTATTAGGTCCTAAACATAGTAAAATGTATTAGTCCTTATTAAATTTATATAAATTAATATTTATATAAATTTAATAAGGATTCAGATAGAATATTAATTATTTTTGTGAACAAATATAATTTATATTGGTTCACTAACAACGTTTATATATACATAATAATAGTGGTAATTATAATATGATAATAATTATATAAAAAATTATTTAATTACATATTAATTATATTAGGTATAAAGGAATTGTATATTATTGTTTAAATAAAATTTAATAAAAAACTATGACATATAATATACTTATAGGTACCTACACAATACGTGACTATACCTTATACAGCTCTTTTTTGCATTAAAATTAATGCACAATGCTATGTCTAACACTATTATAATTAATAACTATTTTTTAATTTTAATTTATCTTTTTTTTATAACTTATCTGTGACATTAATTTATCTAAAATTAGATAAGATAAGACTCCCATTTCATTAATTATTCCTAAAATTACGTCCATAAATAAATGATAGATACATATTTTTAACTGCTCTTCTTTTCTTCTGTTCGGGTAAAAATTCTTCCGTCTAACTTATTAACTGAAAAAACAATGAGCAACAATATTGAAGTTTCAAACTTTACTGGACCCGTTTTAGTAGTGATATGTCTATAACGTAACTATATTAACAAAAGTTCAGTTTCACAGATTCCTGTTAAAAATTATTAAAAAACACATTACACAAATGAATTGAAGAGCACCTCAAAGTTTAAAATTCAATTACAATTTGTTAAAACAGTACAGAACAAGCATTTTTGTAACTAATAATTATTTTTTTAACAATAAATTATTAACAGGATCCTGTGAAGCCAGTTAAACGACGGTTAAGTCCAATAAAATAAAAAACAAAAGTCGATCGCGCCTTCTGTTAAAAACTTTTTTGTAACTTATTTTCTGAAGCGCGCGGAAAAAATTTAAAAACTAGCCTTACCTCCAAGTATACGGAGAGGAGGAGAAACAGGCAGGCCGTCAAGGGGGCCCCGCGGAGCCTCATGACGACGGGTACTTTACTTGGCTAATGTCGAAAAGTTTTATATCGCAGTAAACTGACAACGTATGCACCGACCGCTCACGGCCAGCGCTGATCCGCGAATGAAGTCTTGCCGCGCACAAAATTTTCGTTTATCGTACGCATGCCATCGGCAAGGAACTTGCAACAGCCTACGCGCTCGGAGTGCACCGTTGTATGCGCTTTATTAACATATATAAAAAAGCATTGTACGTACGTACATGGATTTTAGAGCTCAGTGAAGAAACATACGCGTAGTGAGTGTTGCATTAACGTAACGGAAAACAGTTTAAGAAATTAGGCGTATGCAAAGTGAGTTTAGGTGCAAGTTGCAACGGGCGGCCCGTCCGGCTCATGCAGCAACCCGCAAAGTTCCATGACCCCTCTCCTGCGCTTATCAATTTCAGTTTGGGTATTAAAACAGCGTAATTACAATGTATTGTGTATTAATCTTTGAGGTAATGTCCTAAAGTTGAAATTAAATAGGTAAATTAGAAAATAGTATATTGTAAAATCCTATATCTATATATCGGGTATGACTAGCTTCCTTGCATACCTACTGTGTTCTACTTTGTATGACCATACATATATGTAGACAATTTTTTTATTAACTTTTTTTTTAATTATGGTAAAGTCGTTCACCCGTGTGCAATAAAGACATACGGTTAAACGTGCAAGCACGAATGGTAATTGATAGGAGAGGTAATGAGAGGGAATGATTCCAATTATTCGACTATGGTGAAATATTCTAAGGATAAACAAAGGCGGTTTTCAAGAACACGACGAGGAAGCTTATGTAATACATTTTTAGTTGGGGACACTAATCCTTGTTGCTGCCAAACACCTTCATTTTGTAAAAACATCGTAGTTTGACAATTTGTATGCCGCAGGTCTAGAATATTCTACAATGGGGATCCAATAATGGCAAATAATTATTAATCCCCAATATTGGCACCTTTTATATTGTAGTTTTAGCGCTGCAACTGATAGACGGTGGATGGGTAAGCTTTATTAGGAGCGTATAGGGAATTAATGAAGTTTAATGATGGCAGTTGTTAATAACTGCCATCAGTGTGTTATAAAACATAACAAACACACATTCTTTCACGACTATATTCCCGCATGGGGTAGTCAGAGTTTACTAACGACTTTTTGTTTGTAAGCATGGGTGGTAAATCCTTTATACATACACTAATTATATATAACTGCGCATAAATTGTTATTAGTTAAGCTCGTCACTTAGTAATTGATCAGGTAAGCAAGTAAATTATTTTCCTCCATATTAATTTACTAATGATCCGCCCCAGCTTCGTACAGGTGCAATCATAGTAGGATTACTCTATTTGTTTTTAATAAGAACAATGCTCACTTTTTTCCCCATAATTACTTTCTTATAAATGAATTAATCAGTATAGCATTTTAAGATTTATTACAATAAATAAATAAAATTTATATATTATGATTGTAGTTCTTATTACATAGTATTGGTGTAAATGTACTTTTCTTTCAATTATTTTTTTTTATTTGAAATTACATAACAAAACAATCTAGCCGATTAATTGGTATTAATTCCCAGGTCCAGGTGAGCAAATAAATCCTTATTTATTTATTTATTACTATTCCATTGCAAGTTATTTAAATTTTCCAATTGCAAGTTATTTATATAATATTATCAAAATACAATTTCATTTAAGAACGACTTCTATAATAATTGACTAAATCTGACTTAGTGGTGATTCTATAGTCAGTTTTTTATTAGCCCTAATCTGATTGACATATCTATACATCTATACATATAAATAAAATTGGAGTGTCTGTTTGTAATATTGAAATAACCGTTTTTTTACTACATACATATGAATATAAATACGGTACATACACCAAAATACCATTATTAAAAATTTTTGTCTGTCTGTCTGTCGGTCTGTTTATTCCGGCTAGCTCTGAAATGGCTAGACCGATTTTAACGGGACTTTTTTGGCAGGTAGCTGATGTAATAAGGAGTAACTTAGGCTACATTTATTTTAGAAAAATTAAGTTAAATTCCACGCGACGAAGTCGCGGGTGCAGCTTGTATATAATAAATTGCTACATGTCCTATCACGTTCATATTACAACGACAGTCTGTATTTACCACATTTTGTTTGTTATATATTCTGTTTTTATAACAAGGCATACTATGAAAAAAAATATCTAATAACTTAAAAAGTAATGGCTTTAATAGGCAGCTGAGTCACTGCAGCACTGATTGTTAGTAGAACCACCACTCGGAAGAGATAGTATTTGCGATATTTTTAAATTCATTATAAATATAATAATACTTAATAACTTAAGTAATTAGGATATAAAAAAAATGTATAGGACTGAATTCCATTATTTTAAATGTATCTATTTATATATTTTCACTCACTTTGTATATAAGTTTACTGTATTTTAAAGTGCAATAAATAATGTTTTATTTTTTGTCATTATACGTGGATATTATTCGTTTACCAAAGTACTAGGTATTTCTAAACAGAATCAAAGAAACAAACAAGACAATATTATAATAGTTATAATTATTTACAGTACTTGTTTACTTTCGTCATATTACATACATTACAAACAATCAATGAATAATAGAAAAAAAAACTATATATAACTTCATACATTGCGGTCAAACACGCTTAAATTTAAAAATGAGATATATATATTAATGTGGTTTTTGCTGACCTTTCAATAGTATATTAGCACAGATGATATAATATTACATAATATTAGGGACTAAAATTAATCAGAAAAACACACCGAATCACCAATACTTTAACAAGTTTGTTATCTGAACATCTGGAAACTCTAATAATATCTACGTATGACGTTTGATTATGTATGTCGGACGACCTCAGTGGTCTAGTGGTTTAACACACCCCCATACTTCCGATGGTCGCGGGTTCGATTCCTCGCACACAAACATTTGTATTCATGAATACGATTGTTTGTATCGGTCTATGTCGGTCTGTATATATGTTAGCTTAACTTGAGTATAGTTGGTGCTGTGTGAATTGTCTTGTGATTATTAATAAGTAAACGAAATTTGCTCAATTTAGTTCAATAAAATTGTACCTAAATATTTTTTTTAGTTTTTTTAATGCAAACGTGCCTACTTATTTAGTAGTTTTATCAGGTTTTTTTTTAATAATTTTATCGATTGACAACATAGATGAAAAATTTAAATACCTTTTCAATTTTCTTGTTACGATAAGCCTAATCTTCTATCGGTACGTGTTTAAAAATATCCTAGTGTGTCAAGGCCAGCAATTTTACAATATAGTGCTTGTTCTATACTGAACATGATGTTTGTGTAAATTGTTTTGCATAAATTGTTTCAATAAACCTGAAGTATTTTCAAGCATTTTATTTAAAAGGCTAAATGGTCCTTCGAGCCGGATCCTAACTACCGGTTATAAAATTGTTCTGAACTTGATTTTAAATTAGTTATGAGTTTGGTGATTAGAATATACATTATATATACAGTAATGAAATAAATAAATGAAAGCACACAAAAGACGGCCTAATTGCTGAAAGCAGTCTTTTGAAGACAACTTTAGGCAAACGGATATAAATATCGAAAAGATGGGTTTTTATCACGCAGAACTACATTATGGAATCAACTCCATGGTGTTTCGGAATCGATACGATATTGCAACCTTCAAGAAAGCAGCTCATTCCTTCTTATAAGACCGGCAACACACTTGCAATTCCCTTGGTGTTGCGGATGCTCATGGGCTGCGGTAAATCAAATGAGCCGTAATAGAGTTTGTTCCCTGTTATAAAAATAAAAATTAGGAGCAAAAAAATTAGAAACACTACGCTGAAAGTTAATAATAATAAGTAGGTACCTATAATAAGAATTAAAATGTATGTCTTAACGTACATTTTAAAAAAAAGAAATAAAGTTATGCTTTTGTGACGTAGCTCACAACTTAACCACTGAGATTTCAGATTTATTTATTTGCCGTGTAAAACGTAGCTTACGTTTATTTACAAAATTATAAGTCAATAATAAACATTAAGATTAAGATAAAATTTTACTTTTCTTCGACATGTATTAATTAATGTGATAAAAATTAAATTAACTTAAATTTGAAAGTAAATTTTATTTATATTCAAAAAATCACTTTAAAGTTATTAGACATATACAAAATTGATAAATTGGCTATTTCTTTTGGCAATCGATTATACATTATTATCTTCAATAACAGTCCCTGTTTAATAGATTTTGCTAGTCTTTTTTGGTATAACAAGATGGTTTTTATTTATTGTGTTCTAATTATGTACAGCACAGTTTTGTTTTAGATTTTCCTTGTTTTTGTGTATGTTTAACAATGAATGAAATGTAATGGGTGGACTGATATGAATTTAAATTTGTGTGTATATTTTAACACGCCGGGTTTTACCCGGTAGGTGGCACTTTTCTGGGTAGCACAATATCCGCGACGTCCCTTTGTATAGTATTATATATAATAATAACATTTGCGATCTATCAATTAAAAAAAAGTGTATTTACAAAATAAAATAAAAAATTATAAGTAAATAGAAACAACATAACACACCCAAATAAATTGAGCTACAAATAAATTTTTTTTGTTCCTTTTTATTTAGATATACCGCCGATAAAAGGCTACTCAGTCCAGTCCCCCGGGTGTTCTAGTCCTCGGAGTTGATGCCGGGGCAATGGTCCTCGCCGTGAGGCCTCAACCTGCACTTAGTGCATTTTGGAAGACCCTTCGTATGTCTAGCGAGCGTCGAGGTGTAGCTAAATACTACTCCGATCCGACGTAAACTTCCTGTTACTACAGTACAGTGCATAAAGATTATTTACATAAATTTATTTGAATAAAGATTATTTCTGTTCTTCGTGGATAATATTTTGAATTTGAAGCCTAGAGCCGGATGTCATTTTTTATTTTCAGTCTTGTTATCAGTATTCTATCATGACAAACTCAGACAGAC